CTGATGACAGCTCAGGAAGCTGCTAGTGTTATCATTGGGTACTCCATATTCAAAGGGGTGGGGAGAGCGGTGACATCACTGACCAAAGATGGCCAATGGTGATGATTGGCCAATGATGTCACCACCAGCTGATGCCAGCTCAGGAAGCTATTCAGCTAGTGTCACCATTGAGTACCCCATACTCGTTCACATGGTGGTGAGGTATCTGGGGGACCCCTTATGATTTAAGAGGGTTTCCAGATTCCAATAAGCCCCTCGCTCACAGGTCCCAACCACCAACCAAGGTTGTGGAGATGAGGCCCCTGTCATCACCAACATGGGGACAAAATGCTTTGCCAGGGAAAGACCCCACATGGCAGGGTGCCCTCTCCTTTGATAGAATGAAGCCTGGTATGGTGCACTCCGGTTCCCCTCCTTTCCTGGCCAGCCAGGCTGTAAGCTCAGATCAGGGTCTGGTATAGATTTCTTGGGGGACCTCATACTTTTTTTTTTATCTAGTTGCCCAGGAAATTAGCATTTTTCATTTGCTTCCCGTTGATATCAGTGGGCTTCAGGTTTGGCATCTTAATCTCTTAGAAGTTCACCGAACCCTGCTGTATCCGAGAACAGGGCAGTTCGGCTCATACCAAAATTCATACCAGATCGTTGGGGTTTAGTATGAATTTTAAGGGTTAACTCCACACAAAACACCAAAAAAAGGTGAGGGATCCCCCCCCCCAAAATCCATCCTAGGCCCTTATACAAGTCCAGGAACTCCCAAGTTCCATCGGTCTTGAGTTGTGGACTGTTCCAGACGTCATCAGGACCCATAGACCAGGAACCCCCCATGTTCCATCGGTCTTGAGTTGTAGACTGTTCCAGATGTCATCAAGCACCGAGCATGACCCATAGTCCAGGAACTCCCATGTTCCATCGGTCTTGAGTTGTGGACTGTTTCAGACATCATCAAGCCCCAAGCAGGACCCATAGACCAAGAACCCCCATGTTCCATCGGTCTTGAGTAATGGACTGTTCCAGATGTCATCAAGCACCGAGCATGACCCATAGTCCAGGAACTCCCATGTTCCATCGGTCTTGAGTTGTGGACTTTTCCAGATGTCATCAAGCACCGAGCATGACCCATAGTCCAGGAACTCCCATGTTCCATCGGTCTTGAGTTGTGGACTGTTCCAGACGTCAACAAGCCCCAAGCAGGACCCATTGACCAGGAACTCCCACGCTCCATCGGTCTTGAGTTGTGGACTGTTCCAGATGTCATCAAGCACCGAGCATGACCCATAGTCCAAGAACTCCCATGTTCCATCGGTCTTGAGTTGTGGACTGTTCCAGACATCATCAAGCACCGAGCATGACCCATAGTCCAGGAACCCCCATGTTTCATCGGTCTTGAGTTGTGGACTGTTCCAGACGTCAACAAGACCCAAGCAGGACCCATTGACCAGGAACTCCCACGCTCCATCGGTCTTGAGTTGTGGACTGTTCCAGATGTCAACAAGCCCCAAGCAGGACCCATAGACCTGGAACAATCCACCTCTGGACCGTGGGGGAGTGCCGTTTTCCAATGGAACAAAGGATCAGCTGAGTATAAACTTTCTCCTCACCCAAAGATGAGCTGCTGACCCGTGCAGGGTGGCCACAGCCCCATTTCATGGGAAAACATGTTTTTTTGCCCAGAGTTGGGCTTTCCCTCAATGGTTGGTTTAATTAGCTCATGTTCTTCAATGTCTACTGTACTCACAAGTGCATGGGTATAGTCTCAGGGTCTGAGGAGTCTATTAAAATATTAGTTGGACGAATGTAACAAGGATTTGCCGAGCCATGCCCTAATGAGCACAGTGATTTCCTAAGCTCATCAGCTCCATCTAGTGGCAGTAATGTGGTATTTTTCCAGAAATACTTGAAATCAGGAAACACCGCAATACCACATTATGGCCACTAGATGAAGCTGATGATGATAGGAAATCATTGGATGAAATAAAATACGGCCAAAATTCACAGCTGTCACATTTGTTCAACTATTTTTTTTTTATATAGACCTCTAAGTGTTTGTGAAATCTCCCACCACAAAATGTACTCAGCCAATGACAGGTGAGGACACCATTTTTATTCTTCTCCTGCTATCAACGGCCAACCCGGTCCCACACTTCATCCATGTCTTTGGTGACCTCTGATCTCCTTCCTGGGTGAAACCAAGGGACGGTGCTCGGAGGTGGGTAGGGAGAGGAACCAAGGGACGGAGCTCTGAAGGGGGTGGAACTAAGGGACGGTGCTCGGAGGTGGGTAGGGAGAGGAACCAAGGGACGGAGCTCAGAAGGGGGTGAAACCAAGGGACGGTGCTCAGAGGTAGGTAGGGAGAGGAACCAGGGGACGGTGCTCGGAGGTGGGTAGGGAGAGGAACCAAGGGACGGAGCTCAGAAGGGGGTGGAACTAAGGGATGGTGCTCGGAGGTGGGTAGGGAGAGGAACCAGGGGACGGTGCTCAGAGGTGGGTAGGGGGTGGAACAGAGGTGGGTAGGGGGTGGAACCAAGGGACGGTACTCGAGGGTGAGTAGGGGGTGAAACCAGGGGACAGGTGGGTAGGGGAGAGGAACCAAGGGATGGTGCTCGGAGGTGGGTTGGAGAGAGGAACCAAGGGCCGGTGCTCGGGTGGGTTGGGAGAGAAAACCAAGGGAGGTACTCAGCTCGGAGGTGGGTAGGGGGTAGGGGGTCGAAAAACCAAGGGATGGTGCTCGGAGGGTGGGTAGGGGGTGAAACCAGGGGACGGTGCTCAGAGATGGGTAGAAAGAGGAACCAGGGGAAGGAGCTCAGAGGTGGGTAGGGAGAAAAACCAGGGGACGGTGCTCAGAGGTGGGTAGGGAGAGGAACCAGGGGACGGTGCTTGGAGGTGGGTAGGGAGAGGAACCAGGGGACGGTGCTCGGAGGTGAGTACGGAGAGGAACCAAGGCCGGTGCTCGGAGGTGGGTAGGGAGAGAAACCAAGGGACGGTGCTCAGAGGTGGGTAGGGAGAAAAACCAAGGGACGTTACTCGGAGGTGAGTAGGGGGTGAAACCAAGGGACGGTGCTCGGAGGTGGGTAGGGGGTGAAACCAGGGGACAGTGCTCGGAGGTGGGTAGGGGGTGAAACCAAGGGATGGTGCTCGGAGGTGGGTAGAGGGTGAAACCAGGGGACGGTGCTCAGAGATGGGTAGAAAAAGGAACCAGGGGAAGGAGCTCAGAGGTGGGTAGGGAGAGGAACCAGGGGACGGTGCTCAGAGGTGGGTAGAGAGAGGAACCAAGGGACGGTGCTCAGAGGTGAGTAGGGGGTGAAACCAAGGGACGGTGCTCGGAGGTGGGTAGGGGGTGAAACCAAGGGACGGTGCTTGGAGGTGGGTAAGGGGTGAAACCAGGGGATGGTGCTCAGAGGTGGGTAGGGCGAGAAACTAGGGGACAGTGCTCAGAGATGGGGAGAAAGAGGAACTAGGGGAAGGAGTTCGGAAGGGGGTGGAACTAAGGGACAGTGCTCGGAGGTGGATAGGTGGAGGAACCAAGGGACAGTGGTCAGAGGTGGGTAGCGACTGGAACCAGGGGATGGTGCTTGGAGGTGGGTAGGGGGTAGAACCAAGGGACAGTGCTTGGAGGTGGGCAGGGGGTGGAACCAAGGGACAGTGCTTGGAGGTGGGTAAAACAGCGCAATACCTCATTATGGCCGCTAAATGGAGCCAATGATCATAAGAAATCACTGTATGGAATACGATAGGACCAATAATCATCATGCTGCGAATTTTCGTCACGTTCGCTCGACTCAGTTTAAAAAACAAACCAGTAAGCGTTTGCAAAGCCTTACATCACAAGATTGAATCAGCCAATGAAAGGCAATGACTCGTTTTTTTTTTTTTTTCTAGTTCAAAAAGCTTTATTGAAAGAACACAGCGGTGTACAGGCAAGAATAAAAACACGTCCAAGTGTGGATGCGATGCACTCCGTATTCGGATTGGTTGTGGAAGCAGACATGAATGGAGCAATGCGAAGAAAGTCAATGGAGCTGAACACGATCCCGAATGACCGAAGAGAGCAACCCCCGCCACCCAGGGTAAAAACTGTGCTTCTGAAAAACTTCCGGATACAAAGAGTGCAAAATAATAGGCCAAGTATGAACAATATGGGGAAAAAATAAATAAAAATGATGAAAAATATGGAAAAAACTAAAATGATGAAAAATATGGAAAAAAATATAGTAAAATAAATGATGAAAAATATGGAAAAATAAAATAAATGATGAAAAATATGGAAAACAAAATAAAAAAAATAAATAAAATGATGAAAAATATGGAAAAAGAAAAAGACAGAGAATAGGGAAGGAAGAGAAATGAAAAGATGGGGAACAATTGGGGGAGGAGTTCGGAGTCTCCCCTAAACCAGGTAGTGCATGTCAGCCTCACGCTGCTATCAATGGCCAACCCAGTCCCACACTTCATCCATGTCTTTGGTGACCTCTGACCTCCTTATGAACTGTTTCTTCCATGATGAAGATCAGCCATGGAGTATATCTGAGGTGTATATCAGGGTGTGCTTCTTCCCCACATGAGAGCTGGGATGTCCAGCAACTTTCATCTAGAAGACAATTCCTGAAGACTCAAGGCGCTAATACACCTCTAGGGTTGTGTGGGACCCCTGGTGTACAGGAAGATGGGAATTCAGTGAGGAACATTTCCCTCACTCAGGACTTCTCCCCTGTGTGAGATTTCTGATGTGTTTTAAGATTGGACTTCTGTGTAAAACATTTCCCGCACTCAGGACAGGAATACGGCTTCTCCCCCGTGTGTAATCTCTGATGTGTTTTAAGACTGGACTTTTCTGAAAAACATTTCCCACACACCGGACAGGAATGTGGCTTTTCCCCCCATGTGAGACTTCAGATGTTTGTTAAGATGGGGCTTCTGTGAAAAACATTTCCCACACTTTGGACAGGAATGAGGCTTATCCGTTATGTGAGATTTCTCATGTCTGTAAAGGTGTGGCTTAACTGAAAAACATTTTCCACACTCAGCACAAGAATATGGCTTCTCCCCTGTGTGAGACATTTGATGCCTGACAAGATTTGATTTTTGTACAAAACTTTTCCCGCACTCAGAACAGGAATACGGCTTCTCACCTGAGTGCACTCTCTGATGTGTGTAAAGATTGGACTTGCCTGAAAAACATTTCCCACAATCAGCACAGGAATACGGCTTCTCCCCCGTGTGAGACCGTTCATGTAGGACAAGATGTATTTTTTGTACAAAACATTTTCCGCATTCAGCACATGAATATGGTTTTTCCCCTGAGTGAGACTTTTCATGTGGGACAAGATCAGATTTTTTTACAAAACATTTCCCGCACACAGAACATGAAAATGGTTTTTCCCCCGTATGAGACCTTTGATGTATGAGAAGATCTGATTTTTGTACATAACATTTCCCGCAATCAGAACACGAAAACGGCTTTAGCCCCGTGTGCAATCTCTGATGTTTGTAAAGACTGGACTTGTCTGAAAAACATTTCCCACACTCAGCACAGGAATATGGCTTCTCCCCCGTGTGACACCTTTGATGTATGACAAGTTCAGATCTTCGTGCAAAACATTTCCCGCACTCAGAGCATGAATACTGCTTCTCACCTGTGTGAGATCTCTGATGTCTGTAAAAATTGGACTTGTCTGAAAAACATTTCCCACACTCAGGGCAGGAATACGGCTTCTCCCCTGTGTGAGATCTTTGATGTGAATTAAGATCAGATTTAGAATGGAACCTCTTCCCGCACTCAGTACAGGGAAACCTCTTCCCTGTTGGAAGGCCGGCCCGGTCCCGCACAGTCTGAGGTTCCTCAGGATACGAGGAATCCGATGGTCCATCTACACTGGGTGGTGCCGGATGGACATTGGAGGGAGCCGGGTTTTCTCCTGGACTATACTGTGTGATGTCCTCATCTTCTACTTTCCTGTCTGGAGACAAAGTGAGACAATCCTCGGAGGTTTTCCTCATCTCCCGGCCATGGACTAAAATACAAAGACAAAGAGGCTAACTAGACAGGAGCTGATTGGTTCCCCCAAACCAGGACTCCGCCCACATCAGGCAGCTTGGTCTCTGAGAAGCTTCCAATTCCACCCTCAAGGGAACTAGGAAATGGGTCAGTGAGCAGTATGGGTGGAGGAATGGATTTAGTGTTCATGACCCACCTGTGCTGATCTCTGTAGGAGTGTCCTCCTCTATAAATGTCCCCGTTATTCCATCCTCCTCCATAGACTGCTGATCATCCCTCACATACGCCTCTTCTTCTTCTGATTTCACCTCAAATTCTATATCGATTGGATCTCCACTCTACATCAAGAGAAGGAGAGAAAATATCATCTGTAAGATAGAAGATTTATTATTGTGACATCACATAGAAAGTTCGCACATCGTCTCCATGAGTCCATGTTCTAGATTCTCCGTCCACCAACCTTGCAATAGTGAGGGATGGTGTGATCTTCCTGTGTGGAATCCCGGGAATACAGAGGACGGGGACATCTCTCTGGGGGGTTCCTGTAGCTGGGTGACTCCTCCATGGTGTCCTGGTACAGATCTTTGTGTCCTTCAGGAATCTCTGACTCCTCCATCCCCCCATCCTCCTCTTTTATCTCTTCTTTGACCTCAACTGTATACTCTCTCAGGTTTCCACTCTGAATATATAATAAAAATGACATCAATGGTAACATTGCAGATAATGTACAGATCCTAATGATACTATCAGTGATTGTTCCCATCTACCTGATGATGGTGAGGGATGCTGTGACCTTCCTGTGTGGAATCCCGGGAATACAGAGGACGGGGACATCTCTCTGGTGGGTTCCCATGACTGGATCCATCTGTAGAAAACACACACACTGACTGAATCCATTGTTTCTATGTGTTTATCAGATGATGGGGGATCTAGGTGGATCCTCCGTACTGCTGCTCTCTCCTTTCCAATAAATTCTCCTCTTACCCGGTGATGTGAGGGGCGGCTGATTGTCCATCATGACGTCCTTGTAGAGGTCCTTGTGTCCTTCTAAATACTCCCACTCCTCCATGGAGAAATAGACAGTGACACCCTGACACCTTATAGGAACCTGACACACACAATGATACAGTCACCATCCAGACACATCCCTTGTCTGTTACTGGAGAATGTCCCAGAATTCCCGGCACCGCTCACCTCATCTGTCAGCAGCTCCATCATCTTCTTGGTGACTTCTATAATCTTCTCCATGTTGTGTCTCTCAGGGTTTAGGGAGTCACATGGAGGCACTGTGATGGTCATATGATCACCTGACTTCACAGGAGGAAATCTCTGTATTGGGGAACCAATAGGAATATCATGTTAGACTCCCAGAATCCTCCTCACCTCTCCGGTCAGGTCTGTGTTTTATTAATAGAGATGAGAGTGATGTCATGTGACCTCCCAGAAACCTCCTCACCTCTCCGGTCAAGTCTGTGTTTTATTAATAGAGATGAGAGTGCTGTCATGTGACTTCCCAGAATCCCCCTCACCTCTCCGGTCAGGTCTGTGTTTATTAATAGAGATGAGAGTGATGTCATGTGACCTCCCAGAATCCTCCTCACCTCTCCGGTCAGGTCTGTGTTTATTAATAGAGATGAGAGTGATGTCATGTGACCTCCCAGAATCCTCCTCACCTCTCCGGTCAGGTCTGTGTTTTATTAATAGAGATGAGTGATGTCATGTGACCTCCCAGAATCCTCCTCACCTCTCCGGTCAGCAGGTAGATGATCTCCAGGGTGAGGTTTAGTATCCTCTCAGTCATGTGACTCCAGTCCTCCTCCATCCTCATTGGTGTGGTCATGTGATCCATGCGTGTTTCTCTGTAGATGGATAGGGGAGAATTGTCTGGACTGTATTGGTGGTACAATATTAGGATAGGATATAAGGGGTTAATAGTACCCCATCCCCCCTCCCAGTGGAATTTGGGTTACTTGGTGTCTGTCGTGTTTTTTGCCCCCTCATCAGAAATTACACTTTCAGGTGTTTTTTGAGGATCCTTTTCATGCAGCTTTATGACTGATGTAGGAAACACAAACCTCCTTTAACCCTTCCCCACCACTGTCGTAAGGCATATGGCAGAACAGAAGCACGCCAAGCTGGGCAAGTCGGCATGTCTTAGAAGTCAGCTCGCGGTTGGTTCAGCAACCATAAACGTATATGGGAATAGTCTTGTGGACTGTGATGATTAAACGAATAGCTATGATCAGCGACTGTGTCCTCCGTCTCCTTCTCTATCTCAAAAGTGAAATATCAGGGGGTCTGTCAGGGTGCCAATGCTGAACTATGAGCATCAGAACCAGAAGAAGGTGGCCTGGTCTGATGAATGACGTTTTCTTTTCCATCAAGTGGGTGTGCGCCACTTACCTGGGGAAGAGATGGCACCAGGATGCAGTGTGGGAAGAAGGCAAGCCAACGGAGGCCGTGTCATGCTTTGGGCAATGTTCTTGGGTTCTGCCATTATGTGGATATTACTTTGACAAGTACCCCCTGCCTAAACATTGTTGGTGACCAAAGACCACCCCTTCATGGAAATGGTATTCCCTGATGGCGGTGGCCTTTTTCAGCAGAATAAGACAACTTGCCACACTGCAAAAATGGTTCAAGAATGGTTTGAGGAACACGATGCCTATTCTGACCCAGAGGTCCAGAAGGTGGCCTGATCTGAAGAATTCAAGAATGGTTTGAGGAACATGATGCCTATTCTAACCCGGAGGTCCAGAAGGTGGCTTGGTCTGACGAATTCAAGAATGGTTTGAGGAACACGATACCTATTCTGACCCGGAGGTCCAGAAGGTGGCTTGGTCTAATCAATTCAAGAATGGTTTGAGGAACACAAAAATAAGTTTGAGGTGTTGACTTTGCCTTCAAATTCTTCATATCTGAATCCACTGAGCATCTGTGGGATGTGCTGGAAAAACAAGTCCAATCCATGGAGGCCCCGCCTCACAATTTACAGGACTTAAAGGGTCTGCTACTGATGAGTTGGTGCCAGACACCACAGCATGCCTTCAGAGGTCTAGTGAAGTCTACACCTCGATGGGTCCGAGCTGTTTTGGCAAGAAAAAGGGCCTACTCTTATAGCGAGGGGTGGGGTTCTCCACTTCCACCCTTATTATTGGCTGATTTCACACCCCATCTTACAGATGACAATGGAGGAAGAGGACGTCACACGACGGTGGAGGGAGAGGACGTCACACGACGGTGGAGGGAGAGGACGTCACACGAAGGTGGAGGGAGAGGACGTCACACGAAGGTGGAGGGACGTCACACGAGAGGACGTCACACGAAGGTGGAGGGAGAGGACGTCACACGAAGGTGGAGGGAGAGGACGTCACACGAAGGTGGAGGGAGAGGACGTCACACGAAGGTGGTGGGAGAGGACGTCACACGAAGGTGGAGGGAGAGGACGTCACACGAAGGTGGAGGGAGAGGACGTCACACGAAGGTGGAGGGAGAGGACGTCACACGAAGGTGGAGGGAGAGGACGTCACACGAAGGTGGAGGGAGAGGACGTCACACGAAGGTGGAGGGAGAGGACGTCACACGAAGGTGGAGGGAGAGGACGTCACACGAAGGTGGAGGGAGAGGACGTCACACGAAGGTGGAGGGAGAGGACGTCACACGAAGGTGGAGGGAGAGGACGGCACACGACGGTGGAGGGAGAGGACGGCACACGACGGTGGAGGGAGAGGACGGCACACGACGGTGAAGGGAGAGGACGGCACACGACGGTGGAGGGAGAGGACGGCACACGACGGTGGAGGGAGAGGACGGCACACGACGGTGGAGGGAGAGGACGGCACACGACGGTGGAGGGAGAGGACGGCACACGACGGTGGAGGGAGAGGACGGCACACGACGGTGGAGGGAGAGGACGGCACACGACGGTGGAGGGAGAGGAGGACGGCACACGACGGTGGAGGAAGGGGACAGACAGGGCTATGGAGAAAGAGGACAGACGTGACGATGGGGGAAGAAGACAGACATGACAGGGTGGTTACTGGTTGTAAATATAAAATAAGTTCATATTACCTCCTCTGTTGCCACTTCCAGCAATGTCTCCTCTCTACTTCCTCCCGCCTAACCTCTCACTCGGAAATTCCTATTTATGCCTGACATCACTTCCTGTCTGTAGATGACATCACTTCCTGTCTTCCATAAAGACTTCCTGTCTGGGTAGAAGTGAGATCACAACCTTGTGGAGCTCAGAGGAACTGCAGCCCCGAAATGAACCTGCAGAAACCTATCTACCATGATTAAAAAAAAAAAATTCTGATGTGGTTTTTTTAAGCCTTGAGATACCCCCAGTTCCTTCAAAGAAGGCTCAGGCCACAGTTAGGGTTCCTCTAGAGGTTGCTAGATGTTTCTTCAGCAATGAACAATTTCAGCCTCTTAGATAAGTAACTGCAGACACCATGAGCTGTGAATATAGAAATTTATTTCAAGGGTTCCTCCATGATGAAAAGGTTGAGGAAGTCTGACTCAGGCATTGGTGGAATGGTTGACATGGGTCACCCCCTCAATGTCTTCATCAGATGTACCTAGCAGCAAACAGTCCACCCCTACTGCATTGGAGCAGCCAGGAAGATCAGGGTGGGACCCCATACCTCCAGTACAGATGGGACAAGGATTCACCCCTATTCTCTCAGCATGTTCCACCTCTGGCTCATAGAAGCAAAAAAC